CGGGGCCAACACACAACTCCCGTTGACACTTATGGCCTAATGGCCTGGCCGCCCATCCCATCACATCTCATCCCATCCCATACTATCCCATGCCATGCCATCCCATCCAATCCCATCCCATGTCATCCCGTCCCATGCCATCCCATGCCATGCCATGGCAGGGAGCTGAAAAACAACAGGCTGAGTGGCACCATTCCCGCCTGCATTGCCCACCTCACCGCACTCACCACCCTGTGCGTCCATTCTCCCTCCACACCCTCCCTCTCCACTTCTTTCCACCTGCCTCTCTCTGCCAAGCATTGGGCATTTGAAAGGGTGCCCCTCTCTGCCTTCTCTTCTTCTCCTCTTCTCTTCTCCTCTTGCCCTCTTCTCCCCTTGCCCTCTCCTCTTCTTCTCCTCCTATCCTTCTCCGTTTCCCCTCTCCTCCTCTTTTCCTTTACCCCCTACTTCTTTTCCCCTCTCCTCTTCTCCTTTCTCCCTCTCCCCCTGTTCTCATGTTTTCCTTCTCTTCTCTTCCCCTCTTCTTCTGTTCTCCTCTTATTCCCTTCGTCTCTCCGTCCCTCCATCTCCATTCACCCACCTGTCTGCCTTCAGAAACTCAGCAACAACCGCCTTGCAGGGACAATACCTTCTGCAATCACCACGCTCACTAATCTCGAATACATGTCAGTCACTCTTACCTCTCCAGCTGCCATCGCCACACTCAAAGGTCATATCTGAATGGTGGTGTGTTTGAGTAATCTTCTCAACAAACAACCTCGCTGAGTCAACTTACCTCCCATGTCTACACACGTCTCTTCCTTTCTGCCATCCACACGTCTCCTGGCTGGCGGCTGCGCCTTCAAGGTTACCAACCTGGAATGAATGCCCTCCACTCGCTTCCTCCCATTCTCCCTCCGCCATGACACCACTTACCCTCCCCTTCCCTCCCATGTCTACCATCGCTCCCGAGGAGCCATCTTTCTCATGTCATGCCTTGATACGTTTGAGTTGATTCCCCTCCTTAGCGCCCTGTACAAAGCCTAAGAGATGATGCGAAGTATCAAAGGATAAGCCTGTCCGCTGATCCCACACGGAGCTCCCACTTTTGAGGCCCCTCAAAAGTCATGTCAGCTGATGCCACACAGAGCTCCCATACAAAAATTGGAGTCTACGACTCCAATCTCAATCTCACACAGCGTACATCGGAACAAAGATCCCATTCAACACGCACATGTTACTCCGGTCCCATCACTCCCCTCTCCCTTCACTCCCTCTTCCCCCTCCCATCACTCCCTCATTCCCATTGCTTATTTTCCACACTTCTCCTCTTCTCTTCCTACTTCTCCCCCTCCCACCTTCCCATGGCATCACAGCCACCTTGACAACAACCAACTTACGGGAGAGCTGCCCTCCTTCCACCACATGGCCTATCTCACTGCGCCATACAGTCTATATTTTGACCACAACTACTTCACGGCCACACCAGACCCTTCAAATACCAGCAGCTTGTGTCTGTTCCACCACAACTGCCTTGACGACAGCACAATCGACTGCGGCCCTGGGGAGCAACAGAGGAGAGCCAGCGAGTGCCGGGCGTTCTGTGGGGCGCAGCCGCTCACCCCGCCGTGCAGCGGCCATGGCGTGTGCTCCTTCGAGCCGGACCCTTCTCACGACATGGCTGCCTGCTATGAGGATGAGGATAAGTCGCCGCCACCCTACTGTGAACCCGAGGGCCATTGTGACTGTGATGAGGGGTACACACCAGGGACGAAGGCTGGCACGTGCGTCTCCCATGGTATGCCTGCTGCTGAGTGCGCTCTCTAGCTGAATCCTGCTTTCTGCTTCTGTTCCTTTTTTGCGATAAGCTCTTCATTGCTGCATCTTGTCTTCCAAAGCCAACATGCCTGCTTGCCAACATGCCTGCTTGCCAACCTGCCTGCTTGCCAACATGCCTGCTTGCCAACATGCCTGCTTGCCAACGTGCCTGCTTGCCAACATGCCTGCTTGCCAACATGCCTGCTTGTCAACATGCCTGCTTGCTATCCCAAGGGTTCATGGTGCACAGCAGCACCTGCTGTTGCGCACCTGCTGCTGTGCACCTGCTGCTGCGCACGTGCTGCTGTGCACCTGCTCAGTGTGGGCAGTGGAGTGGAGTGAACCAAGCCGGACCTGCTCAGTCACGTTCTCCCATACCTCCTACGCAACAACTCCCTTCGTTTAAGGATGATCAAGGCGCATCAAACACTAGCTCATGTGCTCGTGCCACATGCCTATTCACATCCGCTTTTCTGAAAAAACCCTTCTGCTGTGCTTCATGTGCCATGCACCTTGCAACCCATGCCACTCCCTTGTACCCATGCCACCCGTGCTCCGCCTTCCACACCTCCCTGTGGCCCCCCACAGCCTCCCTCCTGACCACAGGTGGCGCTGAGGGAGCTAGAGGCGCGGCTGCTGCAGCTGCAGGCGTTCCAGCACTGGGTGGCATCGTGACGCCTTCCCTCACACCCTCGCTTCCACCGGCCACTGCAGCCGTGGGGATGGCTTTGTCTGATGTTCTTGCGCCTCACGATCTGCTGATGCTGCACCTGATGTTTCCACTGGCAGTGCTGCTGCTGCTGCTGCTGGCCTTCACACGGTTTCTGAGGCGCCTCAAGATTCGACCCCCCACACGCTACTTCTTTTCAAAGAGAGCCCTTGCTGCCCGGCAATCTGCTTTGGGTGTGGAGATCACTTGCTAGTGCCGGACTGCCAACAGTTCACTGCCGTGTAGGAACGGTTTGTATGTCTTCCAAGAGATCACTGCAGGCGAAGAGAATACCTGCCCTTCTTTAGACGACCTCCTATTTTCGAAACTTGATTGTTTAGATAGACTTTGATTTTGAGTGTAGAGAAATTTTGCATGCAGGGCACTTTGCTCTAATTTATTATCATCTAGACATATCCAACAACTGTCAGCACTACCAGTACCTACCCATCTCTTCTCTTTGAAACGCCACCCATACTGCTCGCATCGCCAATCTTTCTGCCGCCCACACGTCTCTTCCTTTCTCCTTGGTGGCGGCTACACCTTCAAGGGTGTCAACCTCATCAGCCTTTTCAAATGACTGCCATCCACTCGCTTCCTCCCATTCTCCCTCCGCCGTGACACCACTTGCTCCCCTTCCCTCCTGTGTTTACCAACGGTCCTATAGAGCCATCTTTCTCATGCCTTGATACGTTAACATTTGTTTCACCTAACCGCTCTGTCCACACGTAAGAGAGGTATAAGGAATCAAAGGATAAGCATGCCAGCTGATCCCACACAGCGCTCACATAAAAAAATTGGATCCATGACTCAAATTCCTAACTCACACATCGTATCCAGTTCAGTTCGCACATGCTACTCCTGTCCCATCATTCCCCTTTCCCTTCACTCCCACAGCATTCGCTCTTCCTTTTGATGCTACCGTACCAGCCAAGATGACCCTTCAGGCTACCACAACTTGTGTTGTGTCTGTTCCACCACAACTGCCTTGAGAACAGCTTGTCAGAAGAATGGCACTGGGGCTCCCCGATTGATCCTAGGGGGGTTACAGGCATGTTAGCCTCGGGGTTTTGGGTGCACTGACCCGCATTTAGAACAAGTCTTTTTATCCCAGTGGTCTAGTGGCTGGGATTCTGACATGGTATCAGAGCGAACGGTCGGGTTCGAAATCCCTATGTGTGCACATGTTACCGAAGTCGCTGTCAGTGTCTTGGGCCTCCAAGTGTGGGGGGTGTTTGAAGTTCGGCATTAGGGATCCCCGATTGATCCTATGAGGGTTATGGGCATGTTAGCCTGTGGGGGTTTGGGTGCACTGAACCGCATTCGGAACAAGCCCTTTTATCCCTGTGGTCGAGCGGCTGGGATTCTAATACACCTCTATCTTATGTGACAGTTTGCGACATCAGAGGCGTGACAACGAGTGCCCGTCGATCCCACACAGCGCTCACATACAGATTTTGGAATTTCACGACTCAAAAACCTATCTCACACAGCTTAGTGTCGGAAAACCCCTCCTGCGTTACCTGCTTCTCCTGCTGCTTTTTCCTTCTCACCCTTGCATCTGTCTTGTCCCTGTCCCCTGGTTCCCTTCTTCATCCTCAGCCACTACCTCCCCCCTCCTGTGCTCGTGCTCGAGCTGCTCGGGCCCGAGACACAGGACTTCCCAGCTGAGGACGGCTGCTCTTCATCCCTGCCTTGTGGGTCTGGTTTTTGCCACGGTCAGCTCTCTCTTCTTCTCCAGCACCAGCACTCCCACACTTCGCCCCGCTTGCACCCGCCCCCTCACTTTTCTTCGCTCTACTTCTGTTGTCTCCTGATTTGTCTGTCTCTGCCCGCCCTACCCCAACTGCTCCTTCTGTCCCTCTGCCACCTGGCTGCTGCCACTGTTCATTGCTGCACGCATCCCCCAACTGCACCACATGTAGGTCCTCCACCGCTGCCGGCATCACTTCCTTCAGGTATCCTGCTGCCTTGCCTCTCTCCCAGGCCGCCCACTTTTCAGCCTCTTCCATTCCCCTGGGTTCTGTCAGCATCTGGGATGCTAGCTGCATTGGCTCATCTGCCCATGTTCCTCCCTCCATCCACCTCACTGTCTTCACGGCCTCTTTTGCTTCCTGACTCATCGCATCTCCCATTGTATACTCTACTTCTTCCCCCGCAGGCAGGCACTCCCATGCCCCCACTTCCTTGCTCTCGCTCTCTGCTTCCTCCTGCTCCTGGGCTGTGTCCCACACTGGACCTTCCCATCCTCCTACCCGTAGGCCTCCTGGCCCCTAGTCGCACACCATCTCTACTTTTAAGCTCCTCGCACCCGTCTCAGCTCCTCTCCCCTCTTCTTTTGCCATTTTCTCTCCCAGTAGCTCTGGACGTTCTCCCCTCAGCTTCCTCACATGCTGCTCCGCCCGCATACTTCCCCGCACTTGCTTCTCTGCCTTCATTAAACATGACCGTGCCCCCGCCTTCTCGTCCTTTTCTTCTGCTTCCGCTGCCGCTGTTACACACGCTCTTGCCCCACTTGCTCGTCCTTCTCCTCTCCTTCCGCTGCTTCTGGTACACACGCCCCTGCCCCCACCTGCTCGTCCTTCTCCTCTGCTTCCGCTGCTGCTGGTACACATGCCCATGCCCCCACCTGCTCGTCCGGATCCTCTGCTTCCGCTGCTGCTGGTACACACGCCCATGCCCCCACCTGCTCGTCCGGATCCTCTGCTTCCGCTGCTGCTGGTACACACGCCCATGCCCCCACCTGCTCGTCCGGATCCTCTGCTTCCGCTGCTGCTGGTACACACGCCCATGCCTCCACCTTCTCGTTCTTCCCTTTCGTTTCTGGTGTTACTTGCACACACACCCATGCCCCCACCTTACTCACTTGCTTCCTTCGTCCGTCCCGGCCCCCACTGCGCCACCCCATATTTTCATGGCGACGCAGCACCGCTCAGGAGTACTCTGGATCCTGCTCCTCTTCCTCCTTTTCCTCTTCCCTCGCGTACACTTCTGCTTCTTTCTCTGTCTTGCCTCCCAAAGCCTGCAGCTGAGCCCGCAGCCTTCTTATCTCTGTTTCTATCTCCTATTGTGACCTCCTTGCTCCCCCCGTCCTCTGATAGCAGTCCTTCTGCTGATGCCCCCTCTTCCCACACACTTCACAGGTTGGCGCATCAGGGCAGTTCTGACGGCGGTGCCCAGATTTCCCACACACATCGCAGTTCTTGCAATTCAACTTCACATGTCCCGGCTCTCCACACCTGTAGCAGGTCCTCGTGTCTGTCCTTCTCTCATGTTGCTGCTCCTCTCCGCCTCCCGCCCCTGGCATCATTGCTGCCGCCCAGGTGGGTCGCATCTTCTCAGCTGCCCTTGGCAGGTATGCCTCAACGCCTCTGTGACAGCTCCACCTTTTCTGTTAGCTCAAACACTTCCTCCATGCTTGCTTCTGCCCCGTCCTCCGGCCAGCCCGTCGTCCAATCCTGCCAGGAACTTGCTGATCAGCATGCTGCTGTCGGTACACACCACATCTTCGGCCAGGTTCATGAGCCGCCCATAATACGTCAGCAGCGACTCGTCCTTCGTGCGTTTGAAGTCCTGAAACTCCCTGATTCGCTCTACCGTGTGTCCTGGGAATTGCTTGCGCAGCCGCTCCCGGAACAGTGACATAGGGTCGTCCCCATCCTTCTCTGCCCTCCTCAACCACTCTTGCATCTTCATGCGATACAATGTTTCTGCTTCCCCACCCAAAGTGTTCGGCAGACTCAAAAAGAAGTCGATGGGGTCCATTCCACTCCGATCACACCTGTACTTGACATTCCCAATCTGCATCAGATAATTCTTCAGGTTAGTGCTCGTCCCTTCATTCCCCGTGAAGCGCACTGGCACCTCTACCTGTGGTGGCGCCTGCGTGCCCCATCTCCCTGAGTCCCAGGTTCCCGTTGCTCCTCGCTCCGCGCGGCTAACTTCTCCTCTGTGGTCCCTCATTCCCCTGCTGCCTGTGCTTGTCCCATACAGCACCCTGTCTATCCCTTCTCTAGCAGCTCTGGCTTCGCTGGATCCTTCTCCTGTCTGCCGTGGCCTCCTGGGGCCCCTCGGACTCGGACTCCTTCTCCGCTCCTCCTCGTGAGCCTCTCTTCGCCCGCCTGCTCCCCCCCATCGCCTTTCCCTCCTCTCAGGCGAATATTCCTGGAATCGCCCTTCTCGCTTCCCCCTTTCCCGCTACTGCCGGTCCTCTCTCTCACGAAACTCTCTCCGTTCTTCCTGCCTTCTCTTCAGCCCTTCTCTCCTTCCAGGGAAATATTCTTCCCAGCTTTCCTCCCTTTGTCTCGATCCATGGCATGCCCGCCTATCACTCTCTTCCTCTTCCCCGCTCTCTGTGTCATACTCGTGCATTCCCTCCCGTCGCATGTGCTGCTTGTCAACTCTCTTCCTCTGTCCGCCCAGGTCCTGCTTCTCCCTCACCCCCGCTCCAGGTTTCCTTCGCCCTTCTCGCCTTCCCTTGTACCCCTCTCTTCCTTCAGGGCATGACTTCTTCTCCCACCACTCCGGATTCCCGCGTCGGCACCGTTCCAGATCATACCCATAGTCCTCTTCTTCACTATACTCATGTTCCTTCTCTTCACGCAGCTCCTGATCACTCCTTCTCGTCTTCTCCCTCCCCTCCTTCCTCTCAAGAGACTCTCCTTCACAGCGTCTCCCTCGTCTGCCTGCTCCTCGGCGCCCATGATCCTCTCTTCCTCTTCCTTTGTCACTTCCCGGGTCCTTCCCTGGGGACACCTCTCGCCGGCAGTGCTCTTCCTCACCCCTTCTCCTGTTTATCTCTCTCTCCTGCCTCCTCCTTGTCTCTCCGACAGGTTCCTGCACCAACCCCGCTCCCGCGCACGGGTAATCTTCTATTCCTTCCCGGCGCGCTCTCGCATCCGCACCCGTGATGTACTGCGACGAACACTCACTGCCGTTAACACGAGCTTCCCTCTCCTCCGTCCGCTGTCGTGCAAGCGAGCGCTGCACGCGCCTCCTCTCGCGGGCGTCCTCATTTCCTTCTCCCCCCTGCTCTGGTGATCGCCATCCGCCCAACGCCATGCGCCTCCTGCGCTCATGTCCGCGTCTCGGCTCAGGCGAGCCATACACTCCCGCCTGCACGTCTCGCCTCCTCTCTTCCTCACGGCTGGATCCTGGCACACGCTCAGTCTCCTTGCCTTCACCGCGCCCCGCGTTACTTCCGCGCAGCCTGCGTGGCGAGCGGTCTGCATCCGCGCTCCCGCGGCGCCTTGCGCCATTCTCAGGCATTTCGCCCGCCGAACTATCTGCACCCGCGCTCCCGCGGCGCCTCGCACCACTCCCGCGCATTTCGCCAGCAGAACGATCTGAAATCCATGCTCCCGCGGCGCCTCGCACTTCCCTCGCGCATCTCCTCTGGCGCGCGATCTGCCACCATGTCCTCGTGGCGCCGCGAGCCACCCCCGCGCATCTTGTTCGCCGAACGATCTGCTTCCATTACACATCCGCGTTCTTCGCGTCCATCTCCGCCATCGCTTCGCAGATCGTCCTCTTTCGCATCCGCCCGTTCTTCTCCGCGGCGCCTCGCGCCATTCCCACCCATTTCGTTTTCGTCCGTCGCACCAGCTGCATCCGCGTTGCCATGGCGCCTTTCGCCACTCCCATCTGTTTCGTCCGTCGCACCAGCTGCATCCGCGTTGCCATGACGCCTTTCGCCACTCCCATTTGTTTCGTCCGTCGCACCAGCTGCATCCGCGTTGCCATGACGCCTTTCGCCACTCCCATCTGTTTCGTCCGTCGCACCAGCTGCATCCGCGTTGCCATGGCGCCTTTCGCCACTCCCATCTGTTTCGTCCGTCGCACCAGCTGCATCCGCGTTGCCATGACGCCTTTCGCCACTCCCATCTGTTTCGTCCGTCGCACCAGCTGCATCCGCGTTGCCATGACGCCTTTTGCCACTCCCATCTGTTTCGTCCGTCGCACCAGCTGCATCCGCGTTGCCATGACGCCTTTTGCCACTCCCATCTGTTTCGTCCATCACACCAGCTGCATCCGCGCTGCCATGCCGCCTTTCGCCACTCCCATCCGTTTTGTCCGTCGCGCCAGCTGCATCCGCGCTCTCGCGGCGCCTCGCGCTTCCCTTGCGCCTGTCGTCCGGCGAGCAATCTGCCGCCGTGTCCTCGCGACGCCTCACGCCGCTTCTGCGTATCCCTCCCGGCGAGCCACTTGCCCCCGCGTCCTTACACCTTTCGTCGCGTTCTTCTTCCGCGACTCCTTCATTCCTTCCATCCCGCGCAATTGGGACATCTTCCGTGCTCTCCTCGCTGTCACCCTCGTTTGCCGACTCCTGCGAGTCCAGTTCGTCGGCATCCTCATGATGCCCTCCACCCGCGCCCCGCTGGCCTCTTGCCAGATCCCAGGGACCGCTTCTTGACGGCTGAGGCCTCGTCGCCAATCTCATCTGCAGATCGGTCTCGCCTCCATCGCGCCGTCCGTCACCAGCTGCCATCCGATCCGCCCGATCCGCCTCTCTCTTAGGCGAGCGACCTGGCGATCGTTCCCGCTCCTGTGAGCGCATCCGTCGCGACGTTTGCTGCCAGCGCAGCTCGTGGCAGTCCATACTGCCAATTCCTTCTCTCGCTTGTGAGAGATTCTCGCTCCCACTCGATGGCTGCCCACAGTGGCTTAGAGCTACCTAGCTGGAGTTAGCATGAAACGGCAACTTCAATCCACTATAAGAGGCAACCAAACGAGAGAACAAGGTTGCGGTTGCTACGCTAGGCTACTTTATTCACCCTCACCCGTGTTGCCAATTTCTTGGCGAGTGAATTGGGCTCGAGTCGCCTGAGCCTGGATTGGCTGATTCTGGTTTCCTCTCTCTCGAGGCTTCCTGAATCCCACCACTTTGTACCCACCAGTTCCCTGTACTACCAACTTCGCGTCACCCTCAAGAACCCAACCAACCCTCGCTGGAACTAATACTACAAGCTACACCCCTCTACACCTCACAAGCATGTAACAGAATATAATGCCTTTAGCTTTATATTCTGTTACAATAGACCATAACAAATGTCTCATTCAACATGCGCATGCTACTTCTGTCTCATCACTCCCCTTTCCCCTCTCTCCTTCTTTCCCCTCCAATCACTCCCTCTGTGGATCAAGTGCGTAACGATGTCCTTGACCAAGTTGGAGCACATCGTTGCGACCGAAGCCTACAAGGAGGCACGCCGCCTTTGCTTCCTCCTCGCCGAATTCGAGCTCTTGGACACTAGGACGCCGACCATCCTCAACGTAACTAATCAGGTTCCCGTTGTAGTTGCTGTCAAAACTAGTAGTATAAAGTTAGAAACAAGAAAGAGGGAGTTCACTAGCAGCAGTTGGGATACATATAGCAAACCCTAATTGGGTTGTACTCGCTATAGAGCACCCCACTGCAGGCTAGATAATATAACATTCTGACAGTTGCAGAAGGTTGGGGCTCAAAGGCAACCTCAAGCACATGGAGCGAAGCTACGTCTGGCTGCAGTAGATGGTAAAACGCAAGAACCTTGCGTTGCAGAACATTCTGATGACCGAGCAGCCGGACAATTCCTCACGAAGGGACTGCATTTTTTCGGCATCCAACCGGTGCTCCACCGCCATCAGCCAAGTCCGTCTCGCCGATGTCGACGTCGACGACGCGTAGAAGTGGGCACCATGTCCTTCAACATGGTTGGTGCAGTGGGCGACGTGATGGGTTTGCATGCCGGCGAAGTATCCCCCTCATGTTGTACTACGTACGTTCTTTGGGTGGACCTCGTATGTGGGTGTGCCCAAGCTTGAGGGAAGGGGATTGTTGATGATAAAAGGCCCCGCCCTTGCTTGGGCAAAGTCGACCTCGCCGTCTGGTGCACATAAGTGTGCAGCCGACAACGTTTCGTAGTTGACGCCGTCTTTGAGGGCCTTTTATCGAAGTGCGACAAATTGTCTGGTTAATAAGACTAATTCGTCGACGTCGGCGAAACCTTCAAAGTGACCGACGGCGAAGTCGATGAGGTGCTGGCCGACCCCGAAATAAAGTCGGCGAGCAGCGCCGAGCTTCAGCAGTCAACGAAAGTAATTGCCAACGGGGCATCGACCGACGGAATTTATTCACCTGGGGCGCCAGGTGAGTGGCCTCTTTCTAGTCGACCAAAGTAACTGGTCGACGAAATTTCGCATATGCGTGAATTTTTCCCTAGGGTTGGGTGTGTATTGATACCCTGACTAAAAGTTGGTTTATATTTTATTTCCCTTATCTGACACGGTTTCCAGTTTAGGCACACTTTTGGCTCAATATAATCGTTAATCTTAGTGAGGCTTTCTGTGAAGAAACTATAAGGGCTTTTTACACCCCCCCTTCCCCCCCCTTTTCCTCCTCCCCCACACCCTATTACCCGGGCTCCCCAAAGAGTCATTTCCAAAAAAAAATACTTCCGTATTTTTTTTCTTTCTTTCTTTGGTTCAATTTAGTCTTCTTGCTGAAGACGCGGCTTCGTCTGCCAATACATAAGGTAAAGACGCGTCAGCTTCCCCTCTTATTGGCGATCGATCGTGCAATATCGATCCACTATCGCACTAAAATCCCTCTTCTTGCTTTCAGAAACTCTCAAAACCGTTTCTAGCCACGCCAAGAAACTGTCCTGCGCAGGATCGATCGCCGAGATGACCCGGATGGTGACGCGTCCTAAGGGGCATAAACTCGGCAGGGTGCATACTGTCGGTGCCCACTAGCCCACTTGGCACCGCAAAATTTCATGTTAAGGCGAAACCAAAGTTCAATATGACAGCATCCACCAATACATCATGGTAATTAAAAAAATGACACTTTTTGTACAGGGTTCTCTCTCTCTCTCACCCTCTCTCTCTCTCTCTCTCTCTCTCTCTCTCTCTCTCTCTCTCTCTCTCCCTCTCTCTCTCCACAAAAGGCAATACCCTGACCATTAAATCAAAGTCACCATTGTCAGAATGTTATAATTGTCTAGCCTGCAGTGGGGTACTCCATAGTGAGTACAGCCCAATTAGGGTTTGCTATATGTATCCAACTGCTTGCTAGTGAAACTCCTCCTTTCTTCATTCTTGTTTCTACTACTACTTCTGACATGGTTTCAGAGCAGGTCGACCCCCTTGGGTCGATCCTGTGGGTGGGCCCACCACCTAACTGCTTCCGCTGCTGTTCTGCTTCTCGCGCGCCTCGGGCGCGCGCCGTCTTCTTCCTGCCGTGCGCCCCGAGGCGCGCGGCGGTTTTCTACACGGTGGATCCGCGCGCGCCCCCCCCGCCATCCCGTCGCCATTCGTGGCGCCCTCTCCCGTCGCCCGTCGTGGCGTCGCGGGGGCCGCGCGTCCCCCCCATCCCGTCGCCCGTCGAGGCGCCTAGGGGGCCGCGCGTTCCCCCCCTTCTGTCGCCCGTCGTGGCGCCACGGGGGCCGCGCGTCCCCCCCCCCCGTTCGAGTCGTCACGTCGCGACGCTCTGGGGAGCCGCGCGCGGCCCCCGATTCCCCGTCGCGCTGCCCTGGGGAGCCACGCGCGACCCCCCGCTGCCCCGTCGTGCCGCCCTGGGGAGCCGCGCGGCCCCCTGCTGCCCCGTGGTGGCGCCCTGGGGGCCGCGCGCCGTCCCCCCCGCCGTCCCCCGCGCTCCTACCCCTTGCAACCCGTTTTAGGGTTTGGGGGTGAGGAGTGTGGGGGTGGCGGTTGTGGGGGTGCCCGTTGTGTGCGCCGTCCCCTACTCCTCCTCCTCCTCCGTCTCCCGCTGCTGCAGCTGCCGCTCAGGGGGGTGTGTGTGTGGGGAGCCGAAGGAGTGGTGCTAGGGGGGTGAAGGGGGAGTGGAGCTAGGGGCGCAGCAGTGGGTGTGTGAAAGGGGCATGGGACTGTTGGGGGAGGATTGTGTGGAGGTAGCTGTCGTGTCGCCTACAGCGCATGTAGTCCGTCGCCCTTGCTTCGGTAGCCAGTGAGCCTGTTGCACCAGTCGCCAGTGGGTCCGTTGCTCCTGCCGCTCGTCTTAGCCGCGGAGCCAGTCACTCCAGTAGTCCGTCGCCCTTGCTTCGGTAACCACTGAGTCAGCAGCTCCTGTGCCCGTGCCTCTGTAGCTTCAGTCGTTGCCTCCCATCTTCTCTCCTTCCACAGTTTCTCCTCCTCCTCACTTGCCCGCTGTGATTACCTCTAGCTTTGCTTATTATTGTGAACTCCTGCTATGCCTGCTCATTGTGCTGCTTACACCCCACTTTGGCTATGGGGGTGTGTCAGAATGTTATAATTGTCTAGCCTGCAGTGGGGTACTCCATAGTGAGTACAGCCCAATTAGGGTTTGCTATATGTATCCAACTGCTTGCTAGTGAAACTCCTCCTTTCTTCATTCTTGTTTCTACTACTACTTCTGACAACCATAATGTACACTGATAATTAGGGTTTCCAAAAAGACAACATCGCTAATAAGAGTACCTAAAAATGAAAAGTAAGATTGCTTGCAATTGCAATGCTGGCAGGCCGCCTCGGTGCAACGCTGACGAGCTGTCTTTCTGTAGCATTGGCAAACCACTTTTCTGCTACACTGGCAAGCCGCCTTCGTGCTGCGCTGGAAAGTCGGCTTTCTAGGTTGCTAGGTGTGTTGCGATGCGTTCTTACTATATCGACATCTTTGGCATTGTATGCTTGTTGTTCCAACTTTTCTAAATGAAACGCCTTTCAACTTTGACTACGAACTGTCAAACTTATATGCTATAGTCTGTGTAGGCTGTAGTGGGGTAGTTCATATAGGGTACAACACTTCTAGGATTCCTACTTGTACCCAACTGCTTGCTAGTTCAATCATTCCTTCGTTCTCATTCTGACATGGTATTCTGAGCAGGTTCCCTCGTGGGAACGTTTTTTTTAGGGCCCACCACTGAATTTTTCCTTCCTGCCCGAAGCGCGCTGTCGCGCCTGCCTCTCCTGCACCGTCGCGCGCCCTGTCCTGCTGTCGCGCTAGTCGCGACCCTGCCTGAGCCGCCCGTCGCGACCTAATCCGCCGCCCGTCGCGGCCCTGCTTTGCCGCCCGTCGCGACCCTCTCCTGCCGCCCTACGTCGCGGCCCTGCCCTGCCGCCCTACGTCGCGGCCCTGCCCTGCCGCCGCCCGCGGCCCTGCTTTGCCGCCCGTCGCGGCCTACCCTAGCCGCCCATCGCGGCCCTACCCTGCCGCCCCTCGTCGCGGCCCCGACCTTGCCGCCCGCCGCGGCCTCTGCCATGCCGCTGCTCGTCGCGGCCTCTGCCCTGCCGCTGCTCGTCGCGGCTCTGTCCTACCGCTGCCCAGCCGCGGCCCTGCCCTGCTGCCGCCCTGTCGCGGCCCTGCTCTGCCGCCGACGCGTCGCGGCCCTGCCCTTCGGCCGCCCCAGTCGCGGCCCTGCTCTATCGCCGCCAAGTCGCGGCCCTGCCCTGCTGCCGCCCCAGTTGCGGCCCTGACCTAACCGCCAGCTGCGGCCCTGCCCTGCACCCGCCCCTGGTAAGCAACCGCGC